GTCATCCAGGAAGTATCTACATCCCAAAATCAGTCCGAGATTAAACAAGTCATCCAGGAAGTATCCCCATCCCAACATCAGTCAGACTAAACAGTCATCCAGGAAGTATCCACATCCCAAAATCAGTCCGAGATTAAACAGTCATCCAGGAAGTATCCCCATCCCAACATCAGTCCTAGACTTAACAGTCATCCAGGAAGTATCCGCATCCCAAAATCAGTCAGACTAAACAGTCATCCAGGAAGTATCCGCATCCCAAAATCAGTCAGACTAAACAGTCATCCAGGAAGTATCCACATCTTGGGCTGTTGTTAGGCCGTATTGTTTTACATTATTGGTGTTTAGTGTAAATCTTTTTAACATTCTATTTTAGTGTGTATCACAGTTTCTTTTTATACTTTATAGTTTTGATATTGTTGGATGTAACTGGGACCCTGTGGACCCAATTTTGTTCCACCTCATGTGTCGCATGGGATGCAAACAATAAAATTGACTTGAACTCAAAATCAGTCAGACACTAGTCATCCAGGAAATATCCATATCCCAAAATCAGTTGGACACTAAACATCCAAGAATTATCCAGATGTTAAATTTCAGAAAACAAACATATTTCAGAGTTAAGGAACTGGTCTGAAACGTTTTCTCCTCACTGCTCAACGTCGCCTCACCTGGTTGGGAGGCGGAGCTTCAGTCAGTCTAACTTTTAATGTACCTGTGTCCAGGTGATGTCCATCCTGATACACGGTGACGCAGCCTTTGCAGGTCAGGGGATCGTATACGAAACCTTCCACCTGTCTGACCTGCCGTCTTACACCACGCACGGCACCGTGCACGTGGTCGTCAACAACCAGGTAACAACACTAAACAGAAATCCAGCTGAAGGTCAAAGGTTCGGCTGTTGACCTTCGGTCTGTCTGCAGATCGGCTTCACCACCGACCCTCGAATGGCGCGCTCGTCTCCGTACCCCACCGACGTCGCCAGAGTGGTCAACGCCCCCATCTTCCACGTCAACGCCGACGACCCCGAGGCCGTCATCTACGTCTGCAAGGTGGCGGCGGAGTGGAGAGCCACCTTCCACAAAGACGTGGTTGTTGACCTGGTGAGCGCTCACTCTGCACAGATTTACTCAAACGGCAACACCGAATCTCGACATGGGACAAACGTCAACGGGTTCACACTTGAACACGTTTCCCCGTTTGGCAGAAAGACGAGTCGGCAGGTGACTCGTCCCCTTCATGCTTGGTGTTTACCTGTGCAGGTGTGTTACCGTCGGATGGGGCACAACGAGATGGACGAGCCGATGTTCACTCAGCCGCTGATGTACAAACAGATCAAGAAGCAGAAACCGGTTCTGCAGAAATACGCAGAGAAGCTGATCGCAGACGGAATCGTGAGCAGGCAGGAGTACGAGGTGCGGCGCTTCAGGCGACGAGCTGCGAACAAGAGGCGCAGGACGTCCTTTAAACATCAAAATAAAATGTCTGTCTGCAGGAGGAGATTGCCAAGTACGATAAGATCTGCGAGGAGGCGTACGCCCGCTCCAAAGACGAGAAGATCCTGCACATCAAGCACTGGCTGGACTCCCCGTGGCCCGGTGAGCCGTGGCTCCGAGTCCGGCCCTCAGGCTCTGAACGAGCTGGGAAATGATAAGATTCACGTTTTACTGAAAACTGCTGAACAGCTGAAACTGACAAAATATAGAAAAGTGCACGCTGACAGCCGCAGGTAGAAAAAGTCTAGCTTAAAGTAGCAATAAGACAACATTAGCTAAAAGTAGCTAAAAAAAAATTCAACCTAATTAAATTGAGCAGTTTTCATCGCAGCAGCCAGCTGAACGAGCTGAAAGTTTTTTAGTGTAAATTACAAAGTTTGCAGGAAAAGATTCCAAACGAGGAACAGGAACGTCTTCAGCTGATGATCTGATGAAACTCCTGCTGTTTTCAGGTTTTTTCACTCTGGACGGACAGCCGAAGTCCATGAGCTGCCCCTCCACGGGCCTTTCAGAGGAAGACCTGAACCACATCGGACAGGTGGCGTCCTCCGTCCCTGTGGAGGACTTCACCATCCACGGAGGTCTGAGTCGTATCCTGAAGGGCCGGGCGGAGATGGTCCGGAGCCGGACCGTGGACTGGGCTCTGGCAGAGTACATGTCCTTCGGCTCGCTGCTGAAGGAGGGGATCCACGTCCGGCTGTCGGGTCAGGACGTGGAGCGAGGGACATTCAGGTAAACTCCGAGGATTCACAACACTGGACGACTCCAGACCGACTGAAAGGAAAATCTAAAGAAACAGGGAGAAGGAGCTAAAGTTAGCTAAACAAGAGCTAAAATTAACACATGGTAAAACTAGCAGGACGAGGTTTATCATAATGAAAATACACATTTAGCTTGGCAGTGGTTACAAGCTAAGCTTAGCAAGACAGTAGCTGAAAGGTAAAACCTGCAAAATGCTAGCTAAGAGCTAAAGTTAGCAAGACAGTAGCTGAAAGGTAAAACCTGCAAAATGCTAGCTAAGAGCTAAAGTTAGCAAAACAGTAGCTAGAATTTAAGAAAGTGTTCAGAAGTAGTTTTTAGATTTTCAAGGACTTGAAGAGTTTTTTATTTATTTATGAGAAAAATGTGAATGATTAAAATTAAAAAGTTAAAAAGTCACAGCCGAACATTTTGATTCATGACTGGTGAAAGCAGCTGAACATGTGCTGAAGTAGGTAAAGTCTGAGGAAGCTGCAGAGGGAGCTAAACGCTGACTCAGCACGACTAAACATTTCAGCTGAACGGCGCCGTCACTTCCCGAAGCTCCGCTGTTTCTCTCGGCTGATAAAACTCCACGTTTTGAGTTGGCTGGAATAAAAATAAAGTTCAGAGGTCAAAGTTCAGAGAAACGGGTTCTTAAAGCAGACCTGTGTGTCCCTCAGCCACCGGCACCACGTCCTCCACGACCAGAACGTGGACAAGCGGACCTGCATCCCCATGAACCACATGTCCCCGGACCAGGCGCCGTACACCGTCTGCAACAGCTCGCTGTCCGAGTACGGCGTCCTCGGTGAGACCCCGCCTCCTCCTGCTCCTCCTGTGGCTGAAACGTTCTCTGACTCCGCCCCCTGTCCCTCCAGGTTTCGAGTTGGGCTTCGCCATGGCCAGCCCCAACGCCCTGATCCTGTGGGAGGCCCAGTTCGGAGACTTCCACAACACGGCCCAGTGCATCATCGACCAGTTCATCTGTCCGGGTCAGGCCAAGTGGGTCCGGCAGAACGGCATCGTGCTGCTACTGCCGCACGGGCTGGAGGGCATGGTGAGGGTCACCGGAACCCACGACCCGGTTTCTGTTCCAGGACACGCCCCCTAACTCTGCTTCTGTCCTCAGGGTCCGGAACATTCTTCAGCCCGACCAGAGAGATTCCTCCAGATGTGCAACGATGACCCAGATGTCATGCCTGTAAGAGTCTGTACCAGAACAAGACTGACCGAGATGGTTCTGTGTGTTCTCACTCTGGTTCTGTGTTCTCACTCTGGTTCTGTGTGTTCTCCCTCTGGCTCTGTGTTCTCCCTCTGGTTCTGTGTGTTCTCTCTCTGGTTCTGTGTGTTCTCGCTCTGGTTCTGTGTGTTCTCCCTCTGGTTCTGTGTGTTCTCGCTCTGGTTCTGTGT